CAGCGAGGGACCCTCGTGCGACTCGGCCTCCACAAACGCCCGGATCACTGCAGGCACACGTGCATCAGACACACAATGGCTGGCGGTAGGGTGGGGGGAGGGGAGTGGGTGTGTGGTGTGGGTGGAATACCTTGGCTGTAGTTGGCGCCCAGCGCGCATGACGCGACGTATACGTTGCCGTAGGCCATGGCCATCATACCGAGGTCCTTCTTGTTGTACTTCTTGCCGCTCTGACCGAACTTGGCTATCGCACCCAACGGGGTCGCCTGACGCCACACAATACACACACACACACGTGCCTGCCTGCCTGTCTGTCTGTCTGTCTGTCTTTGTCGGCCTGTGTGACCGTGTCTCTCTGGTACCTACCTTGGACATTTGCCCGCCGGTGTTGGAGTAGACCTCTGTGTCGAGTACGAGGATGTTGACGTTCTCGCCAGACGCCAACACGTGATCCAAACCGCCATAGCCGATGTCATACGCCCAGCCGTCACCTGCACAATCCACCCAGACACCACACCAGGACACTCCACGAATGGACTGACTGGTCTATCACTGCTCGTCTGCTCCCATCCCATATCCTCACCTCCGACGATCCAGTGCGAGAACTTGGGCAGAAGGTCCCTGAGGGTGTAGATGCGCTCCAGCAGGGGGTGCTTGCCGCTCTCCTTCTCCAGCAGGGGCGGGAGCGTCTCGTAGTAGGCCTGGCTCTTGGCGGGGTGCCGCCACTCCTTCTCCCAGCCCACCAGCTGCTCGCGAAGCGCGTCGCTGATGTCCAGACCACCCTGCAGCACGGCTGAAGACACACACACACACACGGGGAGAAAGGGCTCATGTGGGTGGGTGTGTCGAGGAGGGGTTGGTTGGGAGAGCAGAGCGCACATTGGACGAGCTCGTGGAGCCGCTGTCGTCTTTGATTGAGGGCGACGGCCATACCGAAGCCGTACTCGGCGTTGTCCTCAAACAACGAGTTGCCCCACGCGGGACCCTGCACACACATAAACAGACACACACGCATGACCGAGCCCCCCTTGCCTTGGCCTTGTGTGGGCGAGTCTCTCTCACCTGCCCCTTGTCGTTGACGCAGTAGGGCACAGCGGGGTACGAGCCGCCCCAAATGGAGCTGCAGCCAGTGGCGTTGGCGATCAGCATCCGCTCGCCGAACAGCTGCGTCAGCAGCTTCACATACGGGGTCTCGCCACAACCCTCACACGCACCTAAACCAACACCAGACACAGACACACACAGAGAGGATGGATGGATGGATGGCTATCACCCCCACGCACGTTATTGCCTACCAGAGAACTCGAGCAGCGGTTTCTGGAACTGGCTCCCCTTGACGGTGGACCGGTCGAACAGCTCGCCACGGGACGGCAGGGTGAGGGCGAAGTCCCAGTTGGGGTTCTCCTGCGCAATGACGTTGTCGACGGGGTAGAGCGTCAGGGCGTTGTCGGGGCAGGCGTGGACGCACAGCTCGCAGCCCGTGCAGTCCATCGGGGACACCTGGATGCGGTACTTGAAACCCGCCATCTCCGCACCGCCCTTGGCCTTCCTGCACATATCAGTTTGCAAAGAGAGAGAGAAGACGTGGAAGCGTGTGTGGGTGGGAGAGGGGAGCGGGGGAGGTGGCGCAACTCACTTGGTGACGAAGTGCTCGGGCGCGTCGTCGGCTTCGTCTTCGGTGATGAGGAAGGGTCTCACGGCGGCGTGTGGGCAGACGAACGAGCAGTAGTTGCACTGGGTGCACTTGTCCATGTCCACCGTCGGCACCTGCAACGCGATGTTGCGCTTCTCAAACGCACTCGTGCCCAGCGGCATGAATCCTGCATGGCACGAACCATCGGCCAACAGGCACGTGTTTGCGCGGGGGTGTGGCGCACTCAGCCCGCCACTCCTCCCCTCCCTTACCTCCGGGCTGGAACTTGCTGACGGGCAAGGTGTCTCCCTCGAGCCGCTCAACGGGCATCATGACCTCGGTCACAAAGGTGGGGGCGTTCTCCAACACGTCTACCACCTTCTTGTCCGTCGCAGACGCCCACTCAGACGCGTCATACTCTACCTGCACACACACGCACATACACACCCCACCGACACACCTGTGTATGGTCTCATGTGTGTTGTCTCATGTGTGTTGCGTTAGGGCATCCACTGACCGACCTTGACAATGGCGTCCAGGGCGGCGTCGACGGCGCGCCAGTTGGCATGCACGACGGCCTCTCCCTTGCGGCCATACGTCTTCTGGATGGCGCTCTTGAGTAGGTTGACGGCCTGCTCGAAGGGCAGCACGTTTGACAGCTTGAGGAAGGCCACCATGAGGATGTTGTTGATGCGCTTCCCCATGCCCGTCTCGCGCGCCACCCCAGCAGCATCCATCGTGTAGAACTGAACCGACTTGGCCGCCATCGTCCGCTTCAGCGATGCCGGCAACTGACACCCACACCCCATGTGACCATTCCGACAGGTCACTCATCTGTGTGTTGTGTGGTTTTGCTCACCTCTGTCTCGAGCTCGTCTCTGGTCCACGGGCAGTTGAGGACGAAGTTGCCGCCGTGTCTGATGTGCTGGAGGACCTTGAATTTCTTGACGTAGGACTGGTGGTGGACGGCGACGTAGTCAGCGTCCTGCAGCAGGTACTGCGACGTGATGGGGTGGGGGCCGAACCGCAGGTGGCTGACGGTGACGCCGCCGCTCTTGTGCGCGTCGTAGGCGAAGTACCCTTGCACGTACAATGGCGTGTTGGATCCTGAATGCATCAGACCATCAGGAAGACACACGACAAGACAACAACACACATTTGATTTGATTTGCATGGTGGGTGGGATGGGATGGGATGCGTCATGGGTGTTGGTATTCATTGTCTGTGTCCATGTGTGACGTGACGTGCCTACCGATGATCTTGATGGCGTTCTTGTTGGCGCCAACAGTGCCGTCGCTGCCCATCCCCCAGAACATACACTGGACAGTGCCTGTCACCCACACAAGCAGGGCAACGTAAAGTCCACACGTCATCCACCCACCCAGCCACCCACCCACCCTGCCCACCTTCGGGCACCGCCCTGAACTCCGGTCCCAGTTCGAGCGACATGTTGGACACGTCATCCTTGATCCCCACGGTGAAGCGGCGCTTGGGCTTCTCCGCCGCCAGGTTGTCATACACCGCCTTGGCCATCGCCGGCGTGAAGTCCTTCGAACCCAAACCGTACCGCCCCCCAACAACCAGACGACCGTCGCCCCGGTCCTGCAACGTGGCCGCCACATCCAGGAACAGAGGCTCGCCTGCACAACGAGAGAAGCAGAAGACACGTGTGGGTGGGCAGCTGGTGCCTTTGGGGGAGCTGCGGAGGGGTGCGTACCGAACGAGCCGGATTCTTTGGTTCGGTCGAGGACAGCGATGCGCTGGACTGAGTCGGGGATGGCGGCCATGAGGGCGTCGGCCTTCCACGGGCGGAACAGATGCACCTTGATCAAACCGACCTGACACACACACACACACGTGCATCCACCCATCGTGCCACCGACCGGCCCCGGTTTCCTTCTCACCTTCTCGCCTTTGCTGTTGAGGTAGTTGACACACTCCTCGAGCACTGGCGCGCCGGCGCCCATGACGACCACACAGCGGTCGGCCTGCTCGTGTCCGTAGTACATGAAGAGTCGGTAGGTGCGGCCGATGACGGGAGCCACCTTGGCCATGACGCCCTCGACGATCTCTGGCAGCTTGGCGTAGAAGGGGTTGGAGGCCTCGACGCACTGGAAGAACACGTCGGGGCCCTGCGAGGTGCCGCGCTGGTGCGGGTGGGTCGGGTTCAGCGCCTTGGCACGGTGCCGCTCCAACTCAGACTTCATGTCATCTGCATCAACCAATCAAGCAACCACCCACACCCACCCACAGCAGGTGATGTGATGCATGCTGCGTGCATGGGCATCCCCCCCTCCCTCCCGCTCAGCTGACGTACCGAAGAGGGGCTGCATCTGTTCGTAGTCGAGGATTTCGATCTTCTGGAGCTCGTGCGATGTGCGGAATCCGTCGAAGAAGTGCACAAAGGGGACCGAGCCCTCGAGGGTGGCCAGGTGGGCGATAAGGGCCATGTCGCTCGCCTCCTGCACCGAGTGAGACGACAGCATCCCCCAGCCGCACTGGCGAATGGCCATCACGTCGCTGCAGTAGACGCACACAACGACACACACACACAGATGACACACATCCATCCATCCACACGCGACGGCCTCAGTCGGTCGGTCTCTAGGCACCCACCCACCCACCTGTGATCTCCAAAGATGGACAGCGCCTGCCCGGCGACCGCCCTGGCGGAGACATGGAAGACGCAGGGCATGAGCTCCCCGGCGATCTTGTACATGTTGGGTATCATGAGCAGCAGCCCCTGGGAGGCCGTGAAGGTCGTGGTGAGTGCGCCCGCCGCCAGGCTGCCGTGCACCGCCCCCGCCGCGCCGGCCTCGCTTTGCATCTCGCGGCAGTCGACCTTCTGCCCGAACAGGTTCTTCCTCCCCTGCGATGCCCACAGGTCAACGAGCTCGGCCATGGTGGACGACGGCGTGATGGGGTAGATGAAGGCCACATCAGAGAAGGCGTACGCTACGTGCGCAGCCGCCTGACACGCACACAAAGGGCCAACAGGGCAAATGAGAGAGATGCACCGACACCGACGTATGTGAATCAGGAAGGGGAGCGCCTACCGTATTTCCGTCAACGATGTCTAGCTTCATGGTCGCTCTAGATCATCAACACAGATACGATGCGTTCAGCTGCAGCACCCCAGACACAACAGACCGCCAGAATGGGCCCGTGCGTTTGGGAGAGGTCAAGTCACGTGTGTGCGTTTACCTGGTACGTCAGCGATTTTGAGGTGCTTTCTCAAGCAAAGATGTATCACAGGAATGCACTATGGGCATACAAAATCGGCAAATCGTTACTTCGTCTTCTGGCTCTCTTTTCTCCTTGTCCCAAGCTCGCAGGGACAAATGCGAGCTTTACCCCGCGGTGCGATCTCCTTTTCTCTGCTCGCAGGCAAACACAAATTGATAAAGATTCTTTGGGATGTTGAGCGAACTCTTGCCCCCGCCGGCCGCAGCCGAGACGGAGGCAGCAGACGGAAAGGAGGCTGCCAGAGGGGAACGAAGGCTGCGGCACAGACACTGGCAGTGGGCACGACCACAGGTGCGCAGCCTGACACACATGACATGACACCCCTTTGCAGTGACACATGACATGCAGCTGACTCCCTCCGTTGCGTTAATTGCAGGTTGAGGGCCTGGGCCCCTCTGCCCGTGGCGGGCACACGGCCACGCTTGTGGGCGGGCGTGTCGTGGTGTTTGGCGGCCACTGTTACGCGGGTCAGGGTGCCGATGTGGCCAAGAAGAAGCTCAAGGCGCCCCCTGTGGAGTCTGCGAGTGTGGCCAAGAGCAAGGGGTTCGAGTACTTCAACGACGTGCACGTGCTGGACGTCGACGCCAACCAGTGGATAGTCCCCAGATGCAGAGGCACGCCGCCACAGTCAAGGTAGGTGAGACAGACAGACAGACAGAGAGAAGGAAGGAAGGACACCGGACAACGAACGTACCCTTTGTGTGTGGCCATTCAGGTATGGCCACTCCGCGACTCTTGTCGGCAGCCGCATCGTCATTTTCGGCGGCAGGGGGATCGACGACACCCACTTCAGGGGTGAGAGAGTGAGTGAGTGGAAGGGTACACAATTAATCCACCCAGCCACCCAGCCACCCACCGTGCTCGGTGCATGTAGATTTGCACGCCCTGGAGACTGTGGGGAGCGGCAAGGAGGCGCAGTCGCCCTCCCTCGACCCCAACACGGGTCTGCCCCTGCCCATCACCATCACATATACGTGGTATCAGGGCCCATGCTCGGGCGGGACGCCGCTCGCGAGAATGGGACACTCTTGCTCTCTGGTCTGTCGGCACGGCACACCAGACGCCACACGCCACAGAGGCCAATCATTGGGATGGATGGGAGAAGAGACAGACAGACAGCCTCACCACATGTTTGGTTGCCCTTCTTGTCGTCGTCAGTTTGGGTCTCGCCTGTTCATTTTCGGCGGTGTCTGCGGCACCACCTTCTTCGGCGATCTGCACTGCCTCGACCTCGCTTCGATGGGTAGGTAGCTAGCTAGACACGCCCGCATGGCGTGGTCCAAATGGGGAGAGGGAGGAAGAGACATATATGTAGTTGTCGGGGGGCTGGTGCAGCTTGGAGCATCCCCGAGACAATCGGGCCCCGCCCGTCGCCGCGTACAGGTCACGCCGCACTCATGGTGGGTGAGAAGCTCGTCATCCACGGCGGGCTGTGTGCGGGATCGCCGCTCACATCCATCAAACGAATCGCGTGAGTGAGACACACACAACACAACACAACTCACACGCGCAGCGCGGCGCACATACATTGACAGACAGACATGAATGGGTGCTGGTCTGGTCTTGCTGTGTTGTGTGTATCTATCATGTGCAATGCAGGTCCTCTGACACGAGCGGCACGTTGCTGTGTGACTGTTACCTGAACGACATGCGTGTGCTCGACATCCCCAACCTCGTGTGGTCACGCATACGCACCACCGGCACGCCGCCAGCCGCCAGATACGGTCGGTCGATCGATCGATCGATCCGCCGCTGAGAGAGACACTCGAGACACGACACCATACTACACTACAAGCGACAACACGCATGCCTTTCCCTCCCTCCCTCCCTCCCTCCCTGTCTCTCTGTCTCTCTGTCTGTCTGTGTGTGTGTGTGTGTCTGTGTGTCTGTGTCTGCAGGTCACACGATGATGCTCTCTGATGAGGACATACTCATATATGGCGGGTGGGGCGGCGGCGTCAAGCGCAGGTTCGGTGGCGGGGGCAAGTCGATAACAGGCGGCAGCACCTCCCGCCCCGCATCACAGCAGCACTCGCCGCAGCAGTCGACCCACCGGAGGACACCGCCAACCGAGGAAAAGACAGCCGATGACATCTCACTCCTCAGACTCGGTGCGTGGTGCGCTGCAGTGCGCTGGCTGGGAGGGAGGCTTGGATGGGACACCGCAGTGACCGCACCGCATCCGTCTGCTCTCCGGGCCTTTTGGTGTGTTGTTTGTGCAGGTGATATGCGTTGGTGCCGTCCCCCGTTCGTGGGAAGCCTGCCGGCCATTCGATACGGCCACTCGTGCACCGTCATCGGTCCGCACCTCGTGATTGTGGGCGGCTGGGACGGAGGCAAACCCCTCAACGACATTCTCGTCTTCAGAGACAGGTAGGTCCCTGCCTACCGTGCCGTACACACCTGGCTGGACGGACGATGGGTGGTGGGCATCTGTCTGTGCGTGGCTTGTCGGTTGGTTGGTTGGTGCAGGGCTGTTGACTTCGAAGACTCGATGATGGGGCATCAGGAGCACCCCGAGCGTGAACACGATGAGGGAGGGGGAGAGTGGGAAGGAGAGGGAGAGGGGGAGGGGGAGGGGGAGGTTGAAAGGGCTGAGGAAGCAGCGGAAGAAATGCATGCAGATGCAGAAGAGGACGCGTGAGTGAGTGAGTGCGCTCTCGATGGATTGGACGCTGTTTGTGGTCCTGTGGATGGATGGATGTATCTATGTGTTTGTATGGGATGGCTGCACGGCACCTGACGTGCTGGCTGACGAAGGAAGGATTGACTCATTCATTTGTGGGTGAGCGTTGTGTGGCTACGACGGGAAGTCAGCGTCAGTCAGTTCTCTGAAGTGCTCTTGCCCTAGCGCCTGCCTCAAGCATTCAAAGACCTGCGAACCACCAAGCCCACACCCCTGTCCAGCCGCTGCCCCTGCCTCTACTCGATCACCCCCACCGCCCCAATCACACACCCTCTCTCCGTACGCAGCCACAAGCTTGCCTACATATATGTCACCAACACACACGCGCACACGCGTGTCAGGTACATGATTCATGAGCTGTCTTGCTGCCTTGATTTCGCTTGCTCACAGTCGGTTTGGGTGAAGTAGGGGGCCACATTGACCTCAAAAACCCGCGCGCGCACCAATGTGAGGGAGGAGGGGTCCGGGGCGCTGGGGGTGTCACTCGTCGCTCCACGCATCGATGGAGCCGCGAAGCTCTTGGCGACCGAGAACCGCACACTGTGGTGGTCATCTTGTGGCTGGGGGACATCGGTAGGCGCGGTCTGGGATGCAGGTGGTGTGTGGCGGACACGCCCGTCGGTGTCGACGTGGAAGGGCCTCATGAGGGGGAGGAACAGCGATGCGCACTCGTGGAGGGATATGTCAGCCTGGGTCGGGTCACAGACAGAGAAGGGATGGTAGAGAGAGAGAGAGAGAGAGAGAGAGAGAGGTACACTGCACGTGACGTGCAATACGCCAATACACCCCACCCAGCCTCCCACGCACCCGTTCTTCGAATGAGAGCAGTGCGGGGCCCGATGAGCCAGGAGCACTCTCAACACAAGAAGTGAACAGATACACCCTGGCGGATGATAACACTCACACATGAATGCAGACAGGGGGAGCGGCTGGTGCGTCTGTCTGTCTGTCTGTCTCACTCACTCACTCACTGCAGTGCGTGGCGGAGGTCATCGAAGATGTCGCTGCCTTGCCGGTCAGGGTCCACATACACACAATCTGTGCCAGCCGACGTGGAGATTTACAAGGTGCGTCCCCTTTGTGCGGCAACTACCTGATGCGATCAGCAGGTCGTATGGGCGGCTTCTGCGAGAGCCGGACGATTCATCATCAGTGTTGATGCGAAAGTCAGCCGGTGAGGCCTCGTGCCACAGCAAGGGGGCCACCTCAATGCGGCCGCTGTCTGACCACACGCACACGCACACAGTCCTGCATATACGAGTGTGTCCGCCTGCCTATCGTGTTGACCCTCCCTCCCTCCCTCTCTCACCGACCAACCTTTCAGATGCGAGTTGAGGGCCACGCTCTCTGCGATGAGCGGCAGCACCTCCGGCCGGTCAGTCATCCGCACTCGTCGAGCGCCCTTGTCAGCACACACCAGCCCACACACACCCGTCCCCGCCCCAATCTCTACCACACCCACACCATTGTCGAAGAAGCCATCCGGCAGCCTGTCGAGCATCATGGTGGCGAGGCTAATGCCCGCCTCCCACACCACCGCACCCAGGCCGACAGTGCATGCCTTCTCCCAGTTGGTCTCCTGCTTGATGCGGACAGACGAGGGGCCACCGAGCTGCAGGATCTCGGCATCCCACATGGGGTTGCGGGTAAGCGTGAAGGACGCAGTCGTCGACATGCACCGACTCGGACTGCGGCTGCTCGGCCAGCGAGGGAACGGGAGTGCCAGAGGTTTTGCTGGCTGCGGCAGATGTGCGTCGAGGGGCATTGGCTGCGGCCTCAGGCGTGAGCAGCAGATCTGGTGGCGGAGCTGCGCAGCGTACGAACGGGCCGACAGAAGACGCTGACTCATCTCCATCCTCCGGCGCGGCAGATTTCAGAGACGGGATGACATTCAGAGGTCACGACGTCGTTCCTCAGGCCTTTTTCCCTGGCCTTTTTCCTCAGGATCGCAAAGCTCGCAAAGGGGGAGGAAAGGGCTAACAATTAGGGGGAATAGGAGAGCGCAGAAGGACCAGCAGGGCCAATCGGCTTTGTTTTCATCGTGTGCTCACTGTTTTGGAGCTGTGCTGACTGAAACGAGGCAGGCATGGCAGAGGACCGGTATGTGTTTGAGACGGAGTGGTACGACCCCCAGGCGGAGCTGCAGAGGAAATACCTACTCACCTTCTACCTCAAAGACAACACCATCGAAATGGTACGGATGGTCACACGCACGGCGCTTTACAGTGCAGTGCACTAACAGCTCTTCCCCCATTGCAGATGGACATCGTGATGTTGTATGTTGATTGCGTGTGTTGCTGTGTATGTGCGCAGTATGACGTCAAGAACCACAGGATGTTTCTGAAGCGCACGTGCTACCCCTCCGTGGAGCTGTCGGACCTGTTCATCGGGGCCAGAGTCACCATCTTTTCGAGGCAGCTGAAGCTCGTCCAGTACGGCGACGTCTTCACACGCAAATGCCTCGAGACAAGGAGATCCAGGTGGAGTGGATGGGGGACAGGATCGAGAGAATTGTGTGTGGAATTGTGTCATTGATTGCAATGGTTTATCAGGACTCTCGCGTTGGTGAAGCCGGATGGGTATCAGAAGATGGGGCGGATTCTGCAGGCGGCCATCGACGCGGGGCTGATTGTCAGCCGCGTCAAGATGGTGCGGCTCGCGCCGCAAGACACGGCCGACTTCTGCGGGGCCATACCCACATACGCACAGGTACAGTACACACAGCCATCCCGTGTTTTGATGTGTCTCTCCACGTCTGCGTGTCTGTCTGTCTGTCTGCCAGGATAGCGGTGTCTTTGACCGTGCGGTGCAGTTCATGTCTAGCGACGTGGTGGTGGCCATTGAGCTGGTGGGGCAGGATGCAGTGGCCACATGGAAACGCATCATCGGCCCCGACGACCCCGCAGTGAGCACATGGACAGACGGACAGACGGACAGACGGATAGACGGACAGATCCAGAGGGAGGGAGGGAGGGAGGGAGGGAGAGAGACACACACAGAGAGAGAGAGAGAGAGAGAGACCAAGCAGACAAAGAGAGCGAAACCAGGGAGCCCTTTGTGTGTACTGTACGTGCAGCAAGCCAAGGCGCAGTCTCCTCAGAGTCTGCACGCGTCGTGTGGCGGTGAGGACGTTGTGCAGAATGCCGTCCACGGCAGCGACTCCAACGAAATGGCCCGCCTGGAGCTGGAGTTCTTCTTCGACAGGAAGTGGCAGGTGGGTACACACAACACACTACACACGTCTGTAGCTGTCACGTCACCTCATGTGTGTCCGTGTCGTGGGGTGGGGTGCACTGCAGCCGACGGCTTTGGTTAACCACTGTTCGTGTGCAGTCATTCGTCCGCACGCCATGAGACAGGCGGGGCACATCATAGGTAGGTTCACCACGCCACACGGCTTGGGAGAGAGAGAGAGAGAGAGAGAGAGAGAAAGAGATTCTGACACCAACCGTTGACCGCTGGGTGTCTGTCATGTGGAGGTAGATGACATTCTGAAGGCGGGGTTTGAGGTCTCTGCGATGGAGCTCTTTCAGCTCAACAAACAGATGGCTCAGGAGTTCCTGGAAGTCTACAAGGTATTCATTAACCAGGAGGGAAACAACTGAGACACACAGAACGAACGAACGCTCCCGTGCGTGTGATTCCATTGATTGCGTATTGTCAGACGGCGTTGCCTGAGTACAGCAGTTTGGTGGAGCAGATGTGTTCGGGCCCCTGCCTGGCCATGGAGATTAGGCAGGAGAATGCCGTTCAGACCTTCAGGGACCTCGTAAACACAGCACACACAAGGCACCACCGAACCAAACGAGACACGCAGGACAGGGAAAGGACATGTGGTGTAGGTGGGGCCCCACGACCCGGACATCGCAAGAGCTTTGCGGCCCAACACACTACGAGCAAAGTGAGACAGACATTCTTGCTGCACAGACAGGTGATGAGGTGATTGAGGTTCGCTGGCTGCCCGCCTGCCTGTTGCTCAGGTACGGCATCGATCGCGTCAAGAACGCCGTGCACTGCACAGACCTGCCGGAGGACGGCGCGCTGGAGGTGGGCGGGCCAGTGAGGTGTGTCGACCAAAACCGTTTGGGCTCATGGGGCTGGCTGTGTGTCGTGGGTTGACGACAGGTCGAGTTTTTCTTCAGCATCCTGCAGCAGCAGCAGCAGCAGCAGCAGGGCTCATAGATAGCTTGGTGTTGGTTGGTGTGTGGTCGAAGGACAGCTATCCTCGTTCGTGTGTGTGGACGGGGGGCATCCATGATCGATGAACGGCATACACGCTCATGCAAAGTGAAGGCACAAGTCGAGCGCCCTGGCCTGCCTCCATGCCGTGTGTAGCTTGGGGGTTAATTAAAACGGTGTCCGGCAGAGACAGGCAGAAGAAGCCATCATGGTCATGATCACACACATGGGGCACCCACACAGCACAAACACACACACACACAAACACACACACACACACATTCATAAGTGTGTCCAATGGCCGCAACCAATCCAATGCACTCACTCGCTCACGACATGCAATCACCTCTCACACAACACTTTCGTCACAACACACGCACGGCCAAGCGGCACAGCTGGAAACGCTCAGGTGGTGACATGCACACACACGCACACACACACACACGGACACACACACAGAGGCAGAGACCACGGATACAGACGTGCACACCGAGACGAGACAGTCAGTGGGTGAGTGTGATCCCGCCCGTCCGCCCGCCCGCCCGCCCACAAATATCCTTCAGCCAGCCAGTGGAGCGAACCAGCAGCCGGGCGGGCACCAGGGAGACAGACAGACAAGGCAGATTAAAAGATACACCCACATAAGTGAGTGCGCCATCCCATCCCCCCGCAATGCCCCGCCCCTATCCCCACCCACACGACAGCCTGGCAGCCGGCCGGCCTCTCGCTCGCGTCCATTGGGATGCACAGAGGACGGCCGGCCGGCCGGCCGGCAAGACCGGCCAGTGATCATCACACACACACATACGGTATATACCCCACCCCCACCCCACCTCCATGGATCAGCTTGCCTCGCTGGCAGGGCAGGTGTGCATGGCATGGCGAGAGAGAGCTTGAGGGCCCCCGAGAGGCTGCATGCAAGCGTGCAGCACGCATCAAAATCAACCTCTGACAGACAGAGCCTCACATGCTGCCTTTGCCTTGCCTTGCCCTGCCCTGCCTCCTGACGGCTGGCTGACACACACAGACAGTAGTGAATGCATTGAATGACATTCGAGATCCCTCCCTCCGACCCACCCACGCACCCGGTCGATGAGCTATACATGAAGGGACGACACACACACACAAACAGAGAAGAGTAAAAATCCGACACACACCCACCCAACACATCAATGAATGAGGGGACGGACGCGTGTGGGTCCAGAACACACACACGGGCGAGCCAGAGAGAGCGGAGACGTACGTGTTAATACCAAAGGAACCCCCCCTGTTTGTTTGGCTACGCGGGCTTTAAAAACCAATACACATACATCAATCGACGAATCAATCGTGTGTGTGTGTGTGTGTGTGCGAGGTGACACACGGCTTGTCCATCTCATCTACGGCGAGTGAGAGGGTGGTGAATAGAGACGACTTAGGCGCTACATACGCTACTGACGACCGACCACACCGACCGACGGACGGACGCAGCGCTACGAGCGATGGAAGTGCCTCTCTACACCGAAAACACCACCCCGATATGACCACAGACCGACGGACAGACCAAAGGTGAGCGGCCCTCTCTCTCCCTCCCAGAGACTGACTGACGGACGGACAGGCAATGACGTCACCCTCCCTCCTCCCGCCCGCCTCCCTGGATTTCCCCTTCCCCGCCACCTAGACAGTGAGTGCTCTCCCTCGCTGCGAGAGCGGCGAAAACGGATGATCGAGCCGTCAACACGACCGACACCACACTCACACACAGACACACAGAGAGAGGGACATCGATGCAGAAACACAGGCAGGCAGGCAGGCAGACAGGCAGTCAGGCATGGACAGAGAGAGTGGGACACGACAGACAGACAGGTGGGGCAGGGCATGGACCAAACACGCACGACCAACGTAGGCGGGATACACGGATGAATGAATGAATGGATGCCACGCATGCCGTGTATCGATCGGTCGGGCAGGACTTACAAAAGGTCCGCCACCTGCACAGACACAGACAGACACACGGACAGAGCCAGGTCACCCAAGCGTCGCTTTGTTCGTTAAGGCTTGCGGGCGTACGTTCGAAGGCATTTCCTCGATCTGCGTGTGGTAGTATCTTTCGATGTCCTTGAGGGCCTTCATGTCGTTGGACGTGATGAAGTTGATGGCCACACCCTTGCGGCCAAACCGACCCGAACGACCAATCCTGCACAACACAACCACACACATATATCCATGCCAACCATGTTTGCGTGGATGCACTGCACTACAGCACAAGACACACGTGGCGCGTGGGTACCCACCTGTGCAGGTAGTTTTCCATGTTGTTTGGGAGGTCGTAGTTGATGACGAGCGAGACCTGCTGGACGTCGATGCCGCGCGCCAGCAGGTCGGTGGTGATGAGCACACGGCTGCTGCCGCTGCGGAACTCGCGCATAATCAACTCGCGCTCCTTCTGATCCAAATCACCATGCTGATAGCACACAACCAGCACACCACACCCGGTCGGTAATGAGCATCCCATCGAGACATGTGTGTCGGGTGTGTCGGTGTGAGCGTCTTCCCCTCCCTCCCTCTCCCCACATATGTATACGTGTGTTTGTTAGTGTGTGTGTGATTGCACTGACTGACCATCGACGAGACGGTGAAGTCTCGTTTGTTCATGTTGTCGGTGAGGTAGTCGACCTTCCTGCGCGTGTTGCAGTAGATGATGGCCTGTGTGATGGTGAGCGTCTCGTAGAGGTCCGTGAGGGTCTCGAGCTTCCACTCCTCCTTCTCGACGGCCACGTAGAACTGCCGGATACCCTCGAGGGTCAGCTCCTCCTTCTTGACCAAAATGCGGATCGGGTTGCGCATGAACTTGCTCGTCAAGTCGAGGATGTCGGGGGGCATGGTGGCCGAGAACAAGGCCACCTGGATGGACGACGGCAGCTTGCGGAACACGTCGTAAATCTGGTCCTTGAAGCCGCGGCTCAGCATCTCGTCGGCCTCGTCCAGCACGAACAGGTTCATGCTGTCCAGCCGGAGGTACTTCTTGTCGATCATGTCGTAGACGCGCCCGGGGGTGCCAACCACCATGTGCACGCCCTGCGACAGCTTCTGGATGTCGTCACGCACCGCCGTCCCGCCCACACACGCGTGACACTTGACCTTCAGGTAGTCACCCAGAGCCAACACCACCTACACACCCCACCACACCTCAGTGTTGTGCCTCGATTCCACCGTTCCTCCGCCCACTGCACTGACTGACCTTTTGAATCTGCTGGGCGAGTTCTCGAGTGGGTGCGAGCACGAGTGCCTGGCACTCGCGTATCTCGTAGTCGATCTTCTGCAGGATGGCGATGGCGAATGTGGCCGTCTTGCCGGTACCAGACTGCGCCTGTCCGATGGTGTCGTGTCCCTCGAGGATGGGCTTGATGCCCCGCTGCTGGATGGCGCTGGGCTTCTCAAATCCGTACGAGTAGATGCCTCGCAGCAGGTCCTCGTGCAGCCCGAGGCCGTCGAAGTTCTCGATGACCTCGTCGTAGTTGCTCTCGATGACGGTGTCGTCGGCCAGCTTCTGGGACCGCATCTCGGCGGCCTTGTCCTCACGGTCGCGGTCGCGGTCGAAGTCACGACGGTCGTCATCTCTGATCAACGTACGTGACAACATCGGGGCAGAACAACACACACGGACACACAGCGACAGAGGCAGAGAAAGATCATGGTGATCAACGCAGAGAGGGAGTGTTGCTGAGTGCTTGCCTGCGTCTGTCCCGGCCATCGCGGTCGTCGTCACGTCTGCCGCGTCTGCAGGCAGAACGGACAGGCAGATCACTCGTTTGCTCGTCAGTGTCTGGGGATCTGACTGTCCGTGTGTTGTGGTGAGCGTACCTGTCATCGTATCTGTCGCGGTCGCGTGAGTCACGGTAGCCATCGCGGTCACGTCGGTCTCGGTCATCACGACGTCTGTCGTCATACCGCCCGTCCCTCTCTCTGTCGTAGTCATTATTGGCCATGCTGGTCTGCACTTCTGTGTCTTTCAAACAGTCAAACGATGCTTTGCTTGTGAATGCGGAAGCCTCCCGTCGCTTCGTCTGGGAGGCACTTTTCTCTGCAATTGCGAGCTTATTCGCGATCTCGACCGATCGAATGTAAATTGCGGAGCCGATACCCCTCGTCTGCGACGTTTGCAGAGCCGCTGGCGATGATGGTGATGCGTCGTTTCGGCCTCGGAATCATCTTGGTGGTCGGCCTGGCCGCCACTGTGGAGCCGATGGTGGCAGCCCAGCCAAGGATGGCCGACGTAAGCAGAGGGGGGACACACACGCACCGAACCGACCATGCACCATGGCAGATCTGTCCATTCTTTGTGTTTTCGGTGCTCTTTTGTCCATATGGATGGCTGGATGGCTGATCTGTGGCTGCAGGGGTGTGGGTGGGCGAGGGAAGCTATGGTTCCGACTGCGAGGGGAAGGACTGCAATGCCGACACATACGGTGGGCGGACCTCTCTATCTGTGAGATCTATGGACGTGTGTGGTCGTTCGTTCGACTTGTCCGTCTGCTGTGTGCAGGTGCGTCGTTTGTGGGCCGTGGTGAGGAGATCCACGCCGCTACGGACACCGCCATGGCCGCCAACAAACACGGTGCGTCCACCTGCACCTATCTGTACACATGGCACCCTCTCTCTGTGTGTGCAGGTGCTGTGTTGGGTGCTGGTGAGCTGTCGATGCTGCAGCAGCAGATCCAGAATGGTAGGGCCCTCCACCAGTCCGCCATGAGCCTCAACGCCCAGGCCCACAAACTCACCGCTGCGGCCCATGAGCTGATAGCCGATAGCCTCAGAACGATGGCCAACGAGCTGTCCGTCGTGGCCATCAACGCCGAGCGCACCACCATGACGATGGTCGACGACCAAAACACCGGTAGGTACGCCTGGCTGCCTTCGCGCGCATCCAGTACTCACCTCATGAATCCGTCGTGCAGGGTATTATTACTGCAGTGACAGCCCGAATGCCTCCATGTGCAAGATTTCTTCCAATGTGGGCAAGACGTGTGGGAGAAGCGAGTCCGGACGGTGCTTCTGCTACATGGGCATGTGCACGGGGTGACAAGGGGTATGGGATGGATGGCACAGGTGCACAAGTAGACGCGCTGTTGCCGATACACGCACACAACACATACAGGCACACACGCGCGCCATGATAGTGCATGCAGGCTGGCTGGCTGGCTGTGTGGCTGTCTGTCTGTCTGTCTGTCTGTCTTTCTGTCTGGTTGGGTGCGATTGCATGGCATGGCATGGCTGGATTACTTTAATGGACACCGTGTGTGTGTATTGGGTTGACGATACATTTCTTTCCCACTCACCTGACCTCACCTTCTTAGTCAAGCGCTCCACACGACGGATCATCTCAGTAAGTCAAGAAACTCATCAACGTATCTACCTACAGGTACATGCCATGCCGACAGAGAGAAGGTCGCATCCATCCCATCCACTGAATGCCCCGCCCCCAACACGCATGGCATGACGCATAGTAGGGCGTCGCCCGCCTGCCCGCTAGTGCCCAAGTCAAAAACTCCCCGCCCCCTCCCCTCACACACACAGAGCACACAGCACCAGTGCAACAGGACGGAAGTGCTGACCCCTTGAACCGATCTTTACACCTGCACTCGTCTAGTCCATCCACAGCCAGCCAGCCAGCCAGCCACCCAGCCAGACAGACAGACAGACAGACAGACGGACAGCCGTCTACCACTTGAGTGCCGACTGTGTGACGAGGCCCAGCGACTCGGCCTCGTCCTTGAGGCTCCGATAAAAGGTGTGGAACAGCCTCTCCTGCGCCTCGGCCACAAAATCCCCACCCCGCCTCTCCACGGCCGCCTTCTCCCTCAACAGCGCATACACCCGCCACGCTCCCACATTCCGCCTGGGCGGCACACATGCCGTGTCGTCACTCTGGTGCAGCAGGGCCTCCAACTCCTCCAGCCGGTGTTTCATGTCGCTCACGGCCGGGGGCTTCTTGGCTGCCGACTCTGCGTCTGCATGTGCATCGGCTGACGATGAGGGGACGGGGTGGTCTGCGAGGGTGGAGGTGATCTGGCCGCCGCCGTTGAGGCAGCCGCCCGGGCACGCCATGATCTCCACAAAATGCAGCTCACTGCTGCTGCTTGTGGCGGTGGTGGTGGTGTTGTTGGCGGCTTCTGCCTGCTGTCTGACGCGGCGGATGACGTTCTGGATGTTGCGGAAGCCGTAGGCCATCGCGAAACGAAGCTTGACGGCACCGTCGACTTCCAGCGTCACCTCCTGCCATGCCATCAGACAGCCCAACCCACTCGTCCAGTCCCTGCATTCGCGTGTGGTGTGTCCTTCACTGTCTGTCTGTCACTCATGTTTGTGCTCACCTTGATGTCTTTATTCCTCCCCGGCTTGAGCTGCAGCGGTCCCTCCACCGTCACCCCGAACAGCTCCCGCGCCGCATGCCGAAACACGGTCTCAACATAGCCCCCCGACCCCCCATTGCTGCCCACAGGCACAGACAGATGGTGCTCTTGATGCTGCTGCTGCTGCTGCTGTCCCGAGCCAGCCGACGAGGCCGTCGGCGACGTCTGCGCGTCCTCCTCGGAGCACGCTCTGTCCTCACTGGGCGGTGTCGGGCAGATGGACGTGATGATGGACGTCAGGGAGTCGACGGGCGACGGGGGGAGGGAGGGGAAGTCGACACCCAGCTCGTTGACCAGGTCGAGTATCTCCGTCGTGGCCAGCACCGTGTCCACCGAGCCAGGCGACTCACCTGTCTGGCTGGTGCTGGTGCTGCTGCCGGTGGGCGGGAGGGGTGGGGCGTCTGCTTGTGTGGCATCGACAAGGGGGTTGCCGCTGCTGGTGTGGTCGTACTTGAACTCCGGCCGGGACGCCTCCAGCTTCTTGTCGAAACACGGCATCACACTCACGTGATACACATCACCTCGAGAGGCCGGCTGGCCCTGTTGCTGTTGCTGTTGCTGCTGTTGCTGCTGCTGCTGCTGCTGTGTGAGCCTCGTTGGGGGTCGGGGGAAGGGGAGAGGGGTGGATGACCGCCACTGGCGGAGGAACTCCTGCCTGCTGTGGTGGAGGGGTATGAAGGTCTTGACGAGCTCGCCCTGGATCTGCTGGCTGGACCGCACTGTGCTGATGTGCGGCAGCACCTCCTTGTCCAGCACCTTCTCGGCGTAACAGATCCACCCGGGGCAGTGTGACGCCAACACGGGCAGCGCGGGATGCCCCTCAGCTTGGTAGCGGTCGACAAACTCCTGCTGCGCCTCGATGAGGGTGATGGCCTCACTCACGGCCATGTCCACCACATACACGGGGCAGGGGGGCGATGGCGATGCCGATAATGGCTCGTCTTCTTGACTGGCCTTGGCTGTCGGCAGCCGAGCGAGCCGGAAGAGCGTGGCAAGTCTGCCCATGACGTCCCACGGCGACATGTGGAAGTAGGCGGCAAGTGAGGTCCTCGACTGAGGCGAGATGGAGACCACCATCATGCCGGCCGTGGCGGCCTTCCGCCTGACCTCCTCGATGCCCTGCTGCTGGATGAGCACCGCCTCTGCCGACGTGACGCAGCCGCTGCACGCGAGGCAGTCGTTGAGAGAGACCTCGGCCTTCTTCTCGGCCGTCTTCTTGATCAGGTTGGGGCGCTGCAGCTTCACCTCCATGGCCGCCTCCTTGCCTTCAGACGCATCGAGCTGCAGCTTGCCGCTCTTCTGCTGCTGCTGGTCCTTGGCCGCATCCAGGATGGGCTTGACGCACTCCTGAATACAGTCAGGAGCACAGAAAGGGACAAGACAGCACAAGCTGTGGGTGTGACGTGTCCTCGAGGCATCTGATGTGGCGTGTGTGTCTTGATGTACCTGTGCGGGAGTGAGGAAATCATCCAGGTCGGCAAGCCGCACAGCATTCGAAAACGCCATGATGCTCACGGGTCTTCGCTTCCTGTGTCCCCTCAAAGAGAGAGCAGTTTCACGAAACGTCCTAAAAGTGCGAGCCGAGGGAAGGAGTACGTCAGGGAAGGGAGAGAGGAAGAGGGAAGGGCTCAGACGATTCGGCCCACAGATCTGCCTATCGACGATTGATGCATCTTGCAAGCGAATGCCTTCATCTGGCGCAAGAGGCTCCCAGCTGACCGCTTCCTCACAGTAAGCCTCACTCCTCATGAGCAGACCTCCCCCCCAGGACCACCCGCCTCCCATCGACCCCGAGCGCCTGCGCACCTTCTTCGCACGAGCCTCCGTGGTGGCCCACCTGCTGCGGTCTCGGCTGGCGCTGCCCCTGCTGTACCCCCTCAACACGCAGTCGTTCGCCAACCAACCTGACAAGCACAACCCCATTGCGTCGGCGAGGTGGGATGCCAAGACGGTGGCGCGGACGCTGAGCCACATGACGCCCGCCATCATCGGCATGTCGCGTATGGTGCATCTGCTGAAGGCTGGCCATGCGCTGGCGCACTACAGGGGCGGGGTCAAGAGGCACATGTATGTCCTCAAGAAGAGGAAACCAGGACAACACAGGTAGGTAGGGTAATTAAAGAAACAAAGGAAGAACAGGCGGAGAGACGGGCAGGGAGGGACAGCATTTGGTGTCGTGTCATCTGTTGATCGGTGTTTGCCTTGCTGCGTGTGTGGGTGTGTGTGGTTGGTTGTATCAGGCTTCACTTTGTCCGTCCCCACGTGTGGAATTATCTGAAGCCGGGCGACGAGCATCGGACCAAGCACCTCAAGTGGAGATACGGAGAGCCGCAGTAAGTGACGACACGATCCAATCGATGAGCAGCAGCCCCTGGAATCGATTGTAAGAGGGCGTTCGGTGTTGTGCTGCCGTGCTTCTGCTGCTGCTGCTGCTGCTGCTGCTGCTGCGATGCTGCCATTCTGAGAGCAGACGCGAGAAGCTGGTTTTTCGGTCTGATTTGCCAGCCCCATGTGTGATGTGACAAAAGGGGACGTAGAGCAGGGTGGGTGCGTGCATGTGCGCACGTGTTGGTCATCTTCCCTGATGGGTGGGTTGAGGTGGGGATCTTCTCATGCGTCGTGTCCTGGGTCTTCAGAAGACGCATGGAGGTGCCATATACCATAATGCGTCTTTGATACTCCAGCGTCGGACGCATGAGAAGGAGCTCGCCTATGAGTTGGGATGCATCAGACTCATGTGGATCTGTACTCATGCGTCTCTACTGCGTCAGGCGCGATCCGCTGTGAACTGCAAGCTCGAAGTCTCCCACCCCCCACAGCCCCCACCAACTCTTTAAGTTCCCCGAAAGGCAGGAGAATCCAGAGCTGCCACCAGATCCAAAACAAAAACCACCTGCCGACCGGATGTCGGTCGTAGAGAAGCTGAGCGAGCAGCTGACAGACCTCCTCGAGGCCTTCTCGCCCTCACAGGAATTCGAGGAGTCCGAGAGTGAGGAGCCTGGGGCCGAGACCTCCACTACCCACATCCCGATTCGTCCAGCTGGCGGAGGGGAACCCCCAAGCATCTCCGATGATGTTATTGTGGCCCTCTGCCGGTTCCTCCCCTTGCTCGACTTCCTCCGGGCAGTCGCCGTGTCACGAAGGTTCTACCACCTCGGGCAGTCGCCGTGTCTCTGGCGATTGCTGGACCTGACGAGCATCAACACCTGCCCCAGGTGCCTGATCCGCTTCATGAAGACCCACCCCCTGGTGAAGGAGCTGGTTGCGCCATTCAACGGGGAGCAGTGTGGCCCGATGAAGATGCTGTGGAAGGCAGCGCCGCAGCTGACGCGGCTTGACCTGTCGTTTCTGTCGTGCCTCAACGACGCGAGCCTCCAGTCCATTGGGCGGCACCTCAAGAACCTAGAGGATCTGGTGCGCTGGGGCGGGGGGAGAGAGAGACAGGGAGTGCATTCATTACGTGTGCCGCTCACGGCCATGTGTGTGTGTGTTTGTGTGTGTGTTCAGTGCCTGGAGGGGTGTGAGAGGATAACCGACAGGGGCATCAAGGAGCTGGTGGATCTGCCGCTTAAGCGGCTGAATCTCGCGCATGCCGAGATGGTGCTGGGGTCGTGTCTGCATCGGTTTGAGCACTTGGAAGAGCTGAACGTCGATGGCTGCTTCCACCTGCCGCCACACCAGATTGTAGAGGTGGGCGAGACCATACTCTCAGACGCGTGGAGACCTCCCTCTCTCTCTTTCTCTCTCTCTGGTGGTCATCAGATCGCTCTCAACCGCGGCCATGGACTCAAGTCTCTGCAGATAGACGGGGAGGGCATCAACGGCCCCACGGGGACCGTGCTGCTGTCGTGTCTCGACCTCCACACCTTCTCCGTCTCGTTTGCACAAGAGCTCTTTCCCCCGTTTGTGCGGCCATCGGAGGCCGTCAAGAACAGGGGCAGCGACGCCGCCGGCGAACTGGCCAGGATGAAGGACCTCACGTGTCTGCGGGTCAGGAAGGGGTCAAACCTGAGCGACGATGACGTCAGAAGGATCTTTGGTGTTCCGCGGCCCAGTCTGCATGAGCTTGTGCTGGCTGAGTGTCACCAGCTGTATGACGGCAGCCCGATCGCTCTCTCGTGCAGAGGTCGGCAAGGAGGCAGGGAGGGAGGGGAGACATGTGTCTGACGGTGCGTGTGGTTGATGTGATGTGACTGACTTGCAGGTCTGGTTGTGTTGGATCTGTCGTGGTGCTGGCATTTGTCGAATGAAGATGTGTTCAACATCGCACAGGCGAACCCGAAGCTGCAGACGGTCACCCTGACGGGCCTCAAGTACCTCAACGACAGCGGCCTCCTTGGCCTGCCCCTCTTCTGCCCTCAGCTCACACGCCTGGACCTCACCCAATGCGACCAAGGTGAGATGACAATGGACAATGCAGGTACAACATGCGCACATGTCTCCCTCCTCCCCTGGGGCTGCGGGTCATTCATTCAGTGCCCGATGCGTTCATTGCCTTACTGAGCATCCTGTACAATGACGCGACTCTGCGGATCATCCCGCAGCCCATCCACGCCCCAATGCCAACCGCCCTGCCGCCTCGTGTGGCCACCACCACCACCAGCTGCAGTGGGAAAGAAGGAGTGGCTGGGTTGGATGAGCAGCCGAGTGGTCCAGGCGGCCGCACAAGGGGGTGGCGTGTGGCCACCTCCAACGACCCCGGAACGCTGCAGTACCTCAAGTGAGCGTGATCGTTGTCGGTGTCCATGTCTCTCTCTCGTTCTTTCTCTTTCTCTCTCTGTCAGAGAGGTGTTGCCCAAGCTCGACGCCCTCCAGCAGCACAGCCCCACCACACAAGTGGCCTTCCCGCAACCGTCGTGTGCATGCGCGTCGATGGATGAACCATTGTCGTCATCATCATCCGCCAGTGCCAGTGCCCCTCGATCGGTGGTTCCGCATGGGTGGGCGGGTTTGGCTGGCGGCGCACCGCCACTGCCGCCGCTGTGCACCCTGGCGCCGTTTGTGCGGGAGCACCTGATGGAGATCCAGACACCACAGCCACAGCAACATGACAAGGGGGAGGGGGGAGGGGCGGAGTCGACGAACAACGACGAGACATCTGCTGCTGGTGACGGTGACAATGACAAGGACAATGGAAATGACAATAAGGAGGGTGGGGAGGCCACCCCCGACAATGAAAGCTCATTCCTCTCCATCTGTGAGAGAATTGCCACGTAAGTCAAGTCCGCAGTGCCCCCATGCCCATCCCGCCCATCCTGTGATGGGCGGCTGTCTGATGCAGGTCGGTGTATCGGCGTCGGGCGTCGGCATTGCCGCGTCTGTTGATCAAGAACTTCTACAACGAGGAGGAAGACGCATGGGTGATCGAGCCTCCCATCATCAGAAGGTGCTTGATGCGACTCGAACACATGGGGTAGACAAAAGGACAGACAGACAGACAGACAGGGAGGGAGGGAGGGAGGCAGGCAGGGGGGGAGGGGCACACACAGGGGTTTGGGGCTGGGGTGCGCAAGTGGTTGGTGTGTGTGGCATTCCGTCAATAAGGCAGGAGGGCATGTATGTTGCGTATCACTATCAACACAGACAGACAGACAGACAGAGAGGTGGTGTACCATAGACAGACAGACAGACAGACACCAGGAAGGTTTGGGTTGTTTTGCCAGAGGTAGCTCACATACACAGCAGCATACATACATTTGCCTCGATCGTCGGTCGGCATAGGTTAGGTATTTTTCCCCTGGTCTGGTCTGGTCTGGTGGGTGGGCCTCGTTGTTCTTGCCACAACAAAGGACACAGGTTGCGTTGCGTTGAGTTTCTCGCTTTGACGCTCATGGATGCGGAGATTAAGAAACAAGGGAAACTTGTCTGTCTGTCTTATCGTCCAAGCCTCTGCACTGTCTGTCTATCAGAATCAGATACCCATCCTTGTGTGTTCCGAGCTGTGTGTGCCTCTCGCTAGCTTGCCACTCCGCTGAGGAAGGTGCCCGGCTGACAGCCAGTAAGTCGGCCGCGCAGACAGACAGCCCAGCAGCGTCGCACGCGATCGACACACACACACACACACTGCCACACACAGCTGGCCACACCATACGCAAGGTAGAGTCAGCTCGCGACAAGACAAACGACCAAAGCACGCCTCATCTCGTCCCGCGGACACGCACAAGCAGCTTGTTAACCAGCCCCCATCCCATTCAGCCACCCACACCACACACCAGCCACCACCCTTCTAGTCATCATCTCTCACACCCGTCGCACCCGTCGCCTTGTTCGTTCACTCCTTCTTCTGGGTCTTGATCTCCCCGTCAGCGCTTCGTTTCACCACCCCAGTGCCACTGCCAGCCGCTGTGCCCTCACCGGTGGCATCACCGGCCCCTGCTACTGCTGCTGCTGCTGGTGCATCTTGCATGATTGTGTCGTGTGCGGGTGCAGGTGGCTGCTCTTGCTCGGGGTTCTCGCCTCCCCCTGTCTGCTCGGGCGCCTGCTGCTCCTCTCCCTGCGCCTTGGTGTCTGCTGCAGGGGCTGGCTTGTTGGTGGTCTCCTCAGGCTTGTTCTCGTCTGGTTTGTCGCCCTCCTTCTTGTCGCTCTCTTGACCCTCTGCAGCCTTCTCCTCCTCTCCCTCTCCCTCGGCAGCCTCGCCCTCGTCTTCCTCCTCCTCCTTCTGCTCTTCCTGGGGCTCCTCATCCTCACCGCGCAAGACTCCATCCATGATCTGACAGACACACCCATGGCAGAACGGCAGGGCGGTGGGTGCGTGTGTGTGGGTGTGTCCACCCACCCTCTCGTATATGTCCTGGTCCTTGGCGAGGAAGGTGCAGAACACAACGCGATCGACACTCGCATAGTTGTCGGCATCGCTCAACCAGTCACGCACCGCGCCGAGTGCCACCTGTGTGTGGGGTGAGAACGAGCAATGGGTCAACGGAGGAATTCGCTTTTCCATGCACCTGTGTGCCACGCCGTGCCATGTCCTGTACTGCTGACCCACCTTTGCCGCTCGAGCATTCGGATACCCAAAGATGCCCGTGCTGATGCAGCAAAACACTATGCTACGCAGACCATTCTCCTGATACATCCACACACACACACACACACACAGCCATTCAAGAAGCTGTCCGCCACACTTTGTCCCGTGTGTGTGTGCGTGACACCTTGAGAATGTTGAGGGATGTCGTGTAGCAGCTCCGCAACAAGGCGGGCTTCTCGCCTGCAGCCATTCATGACAGCAAACGAGTTTCAGACTCCCCTGATGCGTACGTCATGCTCTCACTGACCGATAGGCCCGACGGCGTGGATAATGTGCGTGGCGGGCAGTCTGAAGCCCGGTGAGATCTTGGCGCTGCCGGTGTCGCAGCCGCCCAGTGTCCTGCAGTAGCGACGGAGCTCATCGCCGGCCTTGTCGTGGATGGCCCCGTCCACACCGCCACCGCCCAGCAGACTCCTGCCATGCACGACACGATCGCATAAGTGGGGCGCGGGCAGCTGGCTTTCTCGTGTTGTGTGATGTGCCCCTCTCCCTCCCTCCCTCCCCTACTGGTTTGCGGCGTTGACGATGGCATCGCACTTGAGGCTTGTGATGTCACCCTGATACAGACTCACTTTGCGCAGCGGGCTGTTCTCGGGGTCGGTATCGGTCGCACGCGTGGGGAAGTCCAGCACATCGACCGCCCGCCGCCGAGCCGCGCTACCCGACTGACGGCTGCCACCGAACAAGAAACCTGCAGTCAGTCAATAGGAATACACAAACATCATGACGTGTCTGAGTGCCGGGATAGTATGCGGCCGACCTGCCATGACGAGAAAGGATCCTGGAGCAGCTTGCTTGACGCGATGGCAGCTGACGACGGCGAATTTCGAAGGCTGCAGGAAGCGGTGGAGCATGCGACACGGGACAGTCAGCCACTGATGAAAGACATGCACATACGAGATGAAAGATGGACGTCGGTTGTGTGTGAAACCAAAGCAATAAATGCGTGGCTAAGCCTCACCTGACCTGAGCAGAGATCTCTTTCCGCACTTGGTACTTTGATCAGACAGCTCGCAAGCTTAAGGTTTCTGTGAAACCGCTCTCTCCAAGGGAGAGCGACGATGGATTTGAGGAGCTTTGACGTCCTCCGATGGCTCATGGCGTGTCTGTGTGTGCTGCCGTGGAGGTCGCTGGCAGCGAGGATGGCCGCCTTCCAATTATCAGTGCTATCACCGAGATCTCGCTCATTCAGGGTACAAAGGCAAACAAAGATCCATGTTGGCACAGTTGGTTGACTCATTGTCGGCTTTGCTTTCCAATCTGCAGCATCAGCAGCTGCCTTGTCATCGTCGGCTGCGCTCCCTCTCCCTCTTGCACTCCACTTCTGTCGTGCAGGGCATCACACCGGGCGACGCTGAGCCTCAGGGGCCACCGGACAGCTCGACAGCGACGACGCAGCAGCCATCCCCTGATGAGGGCCAAGGGGAGGGGGAGGAGAGTGTGGTGACGGGGTTCACCATCTATGACGCCGTGCAGTCACTGCAGCAGGTGGCCGACCCGCTCTGTCAGGACAGGGAAGCGTCCATCAAGGAGACCGAGGAGGCTATCGGGGCAATAGAGCACGTCCTCAAGGAGGCCAGGGTCGGTGGGTAGGGTGAGAGAGAAAGCCAGGGAGGGGAGAAAGAGAGTATCGATGTGCTCCCGTGGTTTCGTTGTGATGATTGATGTCATTGCAGGAGAGCGCGCAAGCCCGTGAGAGGCTCGAGAAAGTAGCGGAAGATCTAAAGGCGCTCGAGAAGGCCACGACGGAGGCGCAGGCCATCGTTAACTGCAACAAAATGGAGCTGACTGTGGTCAAGCTGGTCGCCGGAGCCCTCACCAATCTGCGGGAAATCCAAGACCGACTTGTCCCGATGGTCAACGATATCCACCAGACATATAACTTCGCTCACGACCTGTCGCAGTCGATTCGGCTGACGATGCAGCAGCACCCGGCTTACGACGTGTCGGGGCGGGGCAGCTACCCCAGTGATAAATGGGATGAGGAGGCGCGTGTGTTCAATGAGACGGTGTTCAATCTGTCGGACCATGTGGCGGCGAGCATGGCGACGGTGAGGGAGTGGGAACGCGACATTGCGGCGGTGCGGGGGACGATGCGTGAGACGCACGAGGCGCTGACCATCGCATGGAGGGAGGTGATGGAGATCGGGCAGGCGTTGAAGAAAATCGGTGACCTGTTCGCCGTGCAGATCAACGACCCTGAAGACTCCGTCATACCAGGTCAGTGGCCATCGACGCAACAGGACATGCCGTCCAAATGACCCCTATTCTCGCTCTGCGTTTGTCCATATGCCTGCAGGGATGATTGACATGTACGACGCCTTCGCGAACAGTTTTCAGGATTTGCTTGGCAGCACACGGGAGCTGGTGGAGGGAGTGGAGGGACAGGTGACGCCGGCGCGGCAAGTGCTGGAGGGGGGGAAGATAGACACGACAGTGTTGGAGTCATTTAACAGGCCGCTCAATGTCGTCATGGGGGCTGCTACAAGTGAGTGACAGTGATGCATGGTGTGTGAGTGTGTGTGATGGTGTTCATACTCACAGACCCACCCATGGATGAAAGATGCATCAATCCATCCATCGCCATGCAGAACAAACGTCTGGTCTGTACTGTCAATCAGGTCTCTGCTGGATTAGCGAGACACTCAGGGACCGGGTAGCAATAGAGCCTTAACAACTCAAGTGGTTCGGACAGCATCGCCCGCCGCACTCGCAGCACAGTTGACGCCGCGGGTGTGCCCTCCACCTCGCTGCGCGTGTACACATGATCACCACGACTCCCCCACGTACCCCCACCTGCAATGAATGCAAACACAGAGACAGACAGAAACATTCTCATCAGCCATGCCTTGCCCTGTCGACTTAGTTACCTGCTGTCTCGGGCCACTGTGGGTTGGTGACCGGGCAGATAAGCGGCCCCCCAGCCCACGCCCATGGTGGCGGAAGCGGCAGCAGGTCCCACAGCGCCGAGAGCTTGTCTGCAGCTGATGCCTGTGGCTCTGATGGTTGCTGCGGGAGGTTGTGCGGCACGTAGAGGAAAAAGTGGGTGCTGAAGATGGCCGTGAAGCCCCCCTCTAAGCTGACGCTCGCCTCAGACAGAATCTGCTCACACACAACATACCAAACAGCCCATTTGGTGTCCGTCTGCGGCCCCTGCTTGTGTGGTGGCTGCGGTGTCTCACTCTGCGTGTGTATTCGAATGCCTCCATGAGCTTGCCGCCGGTGAGTCCGCCCTTGTCAGCAGACACAGACACACGGACTACTGCATGCTCATACCCCAACAATGGAACATGGGCTGCATGAAAACACACACACACAGACACGCACCCGAACCAAGAGCAGATGACCCAATCCTCAAGCGAGACACAAGCAGAGAGGGGATGCTCACTGACTCTTTCTCTCTGAGGGTCTCCTTCTCTCTGACATGACGTCCTCGAGCAACATCTGTAGGGGGAAGGTTGGAGCGCCCAAGCGCAGCTGAGGCTCGCCGGGGGGCAGTGGGAGCGGGACGATCTGATAACAGACAGGTCGGAGACCGTTAGACAAAGACTGGTGCGCGTGGAGTCAATGCACTTGCCTGCATATGTGTGTCGATGGGGGGGCGGTGGTCCCTTTGGCTCTCACCGAACGGCACTTGTTGGATCATGCCCAGGCCCCCGATGCTCTTCAACACGTCTGCGACAGCGTCCCTGAAGGCCACACGGCGTGTCTCATCACCCAATTGTGCGGTCTTGTTCTGTTTGCGTACCAGTCGGCTGCAGAGATCTCAGCGCCTCCCCTCCTCAGCACACGATGGACAGGCACTGGGGGCGGCCTGGTCTGCGGTGTCTCCAACACGCTGTCGATGGCATCACAGACGCAAGCAAACACGTCGCTCGGGGAGCCGGTGCCGTCCACCGGGTGGTAGAGGCTCGCGAACTCTTCCCTCACGGCCTTGTTGTGCGTGTGGAAGGCCTGAAATGCACAAACAGGAACAGGGCGTGGCTTACCCTTTTGTCTCTCGGCCTGACCTCGAGCCTGACACGGCACTTCTCTTCTGTGTCGTCGGATCGCTGTGTAAGGCGTGCTCTGAGGTCGGCGTCATCAGGGGGCGGGCTGAAGTCCAGGTGATAGATCTTGCCTGCAGGTCCGAGACAAAGGAAATGTCACAAAAGACCATGACTGGCCACATTCCAGGTACCTACCTGTCTCAGGGTCGAGCCTTCTCCCAACGACTCTTTTGACAATGTCATCATCGGGCACCTCCAGCCCCACCACACAGTCAGGGATGATGCCGTACTCACGCAACTTCTCGCCCTGCGCCTGCATGGACGAGGCAGCCTGCATGGTGATTTTCGTGTCGTATCTCTTGCTTACAGCTGTCCTAGGGAAGCCGTCAAGCAGCCACCCCCTCTCGCGACACTCAGGAGACATTAATCGATGCTTCACCAAATCTGATAATCATATGACCAAAGAAGGAAGTCGCAACGCCTGGCTGGCGCGGAAATGACATTTCGGATACCGATGATGAGGTCATCAGGGACGAGCATCCCGCCGTCCATGAACTCCTTGGCCTTGAGCCCCACCTCAGTCCCATCCTTCACCGCCGCCCGCAGCAGGTCGCCGGTCGATAAGTGGACCACGCCGTACCGCTCGACCAACCTCTCGCACTGTGTCCCTTTGCCCGATGCAGGAGCGCCACTGATGATCAGTTTCGGCCGATCGGTGAACAGCCGGCATATCTCATCGGCCTCATCGGGTGTCTCGTCTGTGAAGCCATATTTGATCGACTCTGCAGGGACGATTGCAGAATGGCCCCAGCGGAGAGGTTGCGGATGGCTGACGAGCATGTGGGTGGCACCGGACTCTTCTTCTGTCACCGCCTTGCCGCTGGCGGCACAGATGAAGTGGCGTGCGTCCACCAGCTGGAAGGAAGATGGGCGCGTCTTCTCGGCCGCATACTGCTCCGCCAGCAGACGAGAAGTCCACACGGCAAAAGACATCTTGGCCATGATGCAGGTCTTCTTGTCATAGTCTGAAATCGGCTGCATCAGCAATGGGGCTGTATCAGCAATGAATGGTCGCATGGGGAAATCGGGCGTGGGTGCGATGCAGGGGCGGTGTGCAGGATGGACGAGAGCCGAGTTCTCCGCCAGCCTCGCCCTGATTTTCTCCTTCAGGTTTGGCCCCTGCACCTCCAGCCTTTTTGCCTTGTCCACTAGGGTGTTCCTCTCACCCGCCACTGCGCCGCTCTCCTTCTCCACCTCTTTCTTGTACAGCTGCAGCCGCCCCCCGTACGCCACGCCATAGTCGTCCTTCAAATGCGCGAGGAACTCGTCCTTTCCGCCGATGAGATGACCCTCAGCCGTCAAGATGACCGGCCCCCTGCTGTCCCGGTACTCTGGAAGGTCGAATTTCTCCACGATGCGCTGGATGTATTGCGGCCAGTCGGCAGCATGCTTCAAATCGACGTGGAAGTGCAGGTTGGGCAGGACGTGACCGGCCCTCTCGGCGAAGAGCTCACATATGGCCGCCTCGCGGCTGTTGGCCTGGCTGGCGATGACGTACGACGGCATGAGAGGTGAGATTCCGGTTGGCTCACGTGTTCTCGCCTTCGTTGCTCGGGTATCTTCTCTCGCTTTTGCCATCTGGGGGCGAGACGGGGGCTGCCACCTCCACCGAATTTACACATTGGCGAGATGACATCTGCCCTGCGCAAGGCTGCCGATGCCCTGGATAAGGCCATAGCTGAAGGGAGGGACTTTCGGGCGGAGGAGAGAAACCTCTTGGCTCTGGCGAAGGCCACAGTCTTTCGGCCATCGGAGCGTGTGGATCAGGAGGATGAGACGTCGAGCCCCCCCCTGCATCATCTGACTCCTCCGCACCTCCTCGCCGCCATCGGCGCAAGCGTTGCAAGAAGTCCCCACCCGCTATCGGCGAGATGGAGGAGACCAACGACCCTGCAAAGGCCTTCCTGGCATATATCGAGGCTCGGAATGAAGGCCAGAAGGCTCTGTGGCACGGCGAGGGCCCCCCCTCCCTGAGCCCTACTAAGAAGCGCGGCCACCGAGCCACGAAAAAGGCCCAGCATGAGGCGAGGCGCGCAGAGAGGCTGCGGGCGGCAGAAGAGGCGGCACATGCCTCGATGGATGAGGATGAATGGAGTCCTTCGTCGTCTGATGAGGCCGACTCCTCCGATGAGTCTGACTCGGCATCCCGTCCACAGCAGTCGACCTCGTCGTAAGAAGGCAGCCGCAGCCACCGGCGACCCACCCGACCCATTGCCCACCACAGCCCCGCCCCTGGCCACACATGAGGACGTCCTCCTCATATCCGACGATTACGCCGCCCTTCGAGCGCCGATCTCCGCATCCACAGGCCGGCTCCTGGCTAGTGTGCGCGAGAAAGACGACCAGCGGTGTGGGCAGCGCACCTTTGAGGCGGCGAAGGAGAGGTGGCCGGCGAAGTTCCAACCAGTGGTGGACTACTGGGACAAGAAGCTGGAGGAGCTGCCGAAAGAGATCCGCCCCGTTCTCATCCCGCCTCTCCTCCCGCGCCTGGTCACAAAGGGCGGCAAGAAGTCGCTGCGGCTGCACCAGGGGCTGGGTGTGGCTGAGGGTGCCGTCAAGGGGGACGCCAATTGGGATCCGCAGTCGCTTCCCTGGCACCCGGAGGGCCATCCCACGTATTTGTGCAGACGGCCAGACGGCAAGTTCACTACAATGACCCTACGGTGAGGGCTTCGGGAAGGGTGAAAAGAAGATATGTACATGTGTGTGTAATGTGCGTGTGTCTGTGTGTGGTGGATGTGTGTGTGTGCACAGGTTTCTGACATACGTCATGCTTCGGTTGCCGCCCGATGACCCCTTCCCCTTTCATTTCCTCGATTTCGTCATTGCCGCGCCAGACATGACAGACCCGCGCTGCATCGCTTCTGTCAGGGAGAAGCTCAAGGCCGTCTGCGGGGAGGATGAGCTCATAGCCGTTCTGGAGAAGAGACCGATGGACCAATGGCGAAAACTGGTGCGTTGAACCTCATCCATTCATCCATTCATCCATTCATCCATTCATCCAGTCAGACAGACAGACAGACACCTCGACAACACTAGCAGTGTCAGTGCCCCTCCGGCGGCGGCAGCCGCGGCTGGTGCCGTGATGAAGCACCCGGACGAGGCGCTGGTGCTGGCTCATTCGGCGACGATGTATAGCGGGGGGGAGATGCGCAGTGGCGGTCCGCCCTCCACCGGGGCGTGGTCGGTGGCCGAGAAGTGGAACTTCTTTGTCGGATTCGCCAAATATGGAAATTCGTGGGTTGAGGTGGCAGGTAGGTATGCGTCTGACCGGACTGGGTCACTCACGGCAGGGTATGCTCGTCTGGTTTGGTTGTGTGTGTGCCTGTGTGCAGCTGAAGTTGGTACTCGTACGCGCCAGCAGTGCCGTTCCCATTTCCAGAAGACCTTCCTCTACTCACTGCCCGAGACCGAGCGCCAGGAGGTGGGTAGGGAGGGCGACACCACACACACGGGGAGAGGGAGAGAGGCACTTTGCAATGGAATTCATCAACCAGTCGTGTGTGTGTGGTCTGTGTGTGGTGGGGCGTGTGTGCAGCGTGCCCAGCAGTTCATCCAGCAGGAGTTGGAGCGGAACCGTGGCCAGCCTCCCCTCGAGCTGACCGACCTGTCGGCCCCTGCTGCGTCCAACCCCCTGCTCAAGACGAGCGGCGACCCCAGTGGCGGCCG